GCTCTCACGAGCGGGCAACCTCAGAAAGTTTACGGAGTAGACCGGCACGCTTCAACAGTCGGGTATCTAGGATTACGGAAAACTTCAGGGTTTCCGGGGCAAGCGCCGAGTTTCTCCCGGCACGTACTCCACTGGTTCACTTCGGACTGACGGGATATAGACAATTGTTTCTTCGTCCCGGCTGTTCGACGGTACGACGAAACATCGATGCATCGACAAGCCCGCTCCGAAAGATGAACGCCCGATGAGGTGATCGAAACTCATCACGTTCCTATCCGAATAAGTGCGGTGGGCGCGAATCAGGAGGGAAGACTTCGCCGCATCTGCTTCCCGACTTCGGTTCTGGGAGAGTGCATTAGGATTTGGGACGAGCTCCGAGCGGAAGGGCGATGCACCAGATTCTCGAGTTGGGTATGTCCTGACAGAAGTCGAAGCGGAATACGATGCTCGCCACTCGGACACTATTTCGAAACGACTCGCTCTTGGAAACAATGACAATGACTCAATGAAGTCGATGGGATAGATACCTTCATTTGTTTACGAGCAACGAATAATTCGTATCGTACCATCGAAGGAAGCCGGTAGATTCGTGAGAAATATCTACCCGGCTTCAAAAATCCGGCTGAATGAAGATGAGCAGTACTCTCCCATCGGCACTCATCCGTACATACGCTTTTCTTCTGACAATCATGTGATTAAAGTTCCGCTGTCGATCTACGGAAGGACACCACGATGAGACATATCGGAGTCGAATTCTGCGAATATGAAGTGCTTCAATGGGTCAGCAAGAGACAATAGACTTCGTTGGGTTCCCGGGAGGCCACAATCGGCGTAAAAAACTTCACATGGTTCCTTTCACGGAGCGGTATTTTACTACTAGACCGACGAAACGAATCGGACCAAAACAAAAGAAATGAATCGTTCATTCAGCGAGAATCATACTATGATTGGCATAGTCCTCCATTCTAGAAACATCCGAAGTAAATTCGTATCGGAAAGAAGGTAGTGTTCTATCGAATCCGCTCGAATCGAAGATGTCGCGCTAGAAACGATCGGAAAGATGGATCACCGAAGAATCGCGCCATGGTACCGCGGAACCATTTCCATAAAGCAATTGTTCCCCGAGCAGTGAGAAGATACACCGGGGTTTTGTGGATTTTGCTTCGCTCGAAGGCAAATGCCAGGGTGCGTTCCTGTTTTCGGTTGACTCTCATGAGCCGCTGCGACTTCAATGGATCATGCAGAACCAATCAAGGAACGACAAAAAGAAGTGGGAACAATGAAGATAGCGAGTTGCACATGCTCATTGTTCAAGCGCTGGAGACTTCGGAATCGGAGGACGGCAGAGAATCTAGATTTTGCTTCTGCAGCGGAAAATCTCGAAAGAATCCAGAAACTCTCCGGATGAGGTCTCGAGTCCGAATACGGTCAGATGATGCGGGATGATAATCGGATCTCAGTTCTGTGGGAGGCGGGAGACATGATAGAATAAATGTGGATTCGGTCGAGAACATCGAATTTCAGGCGATTTTAGAACCTGGAGACACCCGTGGTTCCGAAGTGCGAACAGATTCCGAGTGGATGCGGCTGCGACTTGCCCCAAATCAGTAGGAGGCGGACCATAAAATTTATTGATGGTTCTGATCTCCAGTCGTCTTCCAGGAGAGAAGACGATTTCCTTCACGCTTCGATCGACCATCTGCCCGGCAACGTTGCAGGAGGCGTTGATCAAACCCATGGTGAGAGCGGCAGTCAGGTAGACTCCGCTTGCTCGTTTCACCTGCCTCTCGCTGATCGGCCGCGGAGCGTTTTCAATTTCACCCGAATAGAGAACCCTCAGATCTGTATCAGGCGGCTGAAAGTTGCGGTAGGTACATTTCGGACTCTTCTCGACCAGCATTATTGACACATTTACGCTTAATCGAAAGGGATGGAATATCTGCTCGGACTCAATTCCCGTGGAAAGATTTCCCTCCCAGTTTATCCAAAACGAGCGCTCTAGAATCGGGAATACCGGTCCCTTCCCCAGCGAAGAGCGTGGTGAATGACGTTGAGTAATTTTCCCTTACGACTGGCGAATACTGAGGGAACAGAGACCTAATCATATCCTACATCGTTCCGAAGACTGTCTTCATAGTGACTCATCGACAGTAGCAATTAAACGCGAAAAAACGATGCAATTCCTCGTGTGGTGTAATGAGACATCAACAATGGAGGGCCACGGTGAAAATTTCAGCCTGTCTTGGTTGAATGCTTCTCCTGGGAACGTTGGAAGAAAAGGAGAATCGACGATGTGAACACACGACGTCCGCAGTCGATAAGTGAAACATGAATGGAATGAGCTACGTTCATGCATGCAACGATCACCGCCCGAAACTCGCCTCAAAACAACATTTCGATCTTCTCTAAAGAAATGGAAAATTCGAGCGCCCCTAGCAGACGGAGTAGTGTGCATGATGTGTCAGAGGACGGAACCAGACTCTGAACTGATGCGAGGAGCAAGTTCAGCTGCTGAATTTAGGATCTCAACTCCCGATCGAGCAAGGTCTTTTATCGGCGAAATTGTTTCCGAGAGGTTTCCAAAAGAGTTTCTGTCCGTTCGATCCTCACGGCAGATCAATCGGGAACTCCAGAAGAGTTTTATTGGAAACGAAAGATCTGTGGAAAGTCTTCTCTCTTTCAATATTTTCGAATTCTCCGCCATTCATTGAGGCTCGAAACCGGAGGGTACCCTCGTCATCACTCTCTCCCGACCAGCCCATTCGCGTCGGGCCCTGTCGAGCACTGGCTCCAGGGTCTACCGCCAGAGTTCGCCCGGCCTTAGCTCGAATGATCCACTCCGGCAGCCTTCCGAAGGGGACAGTGTTGAGAACGGTAGTCCGTCAGCTTGACTCGAATTGTTTTGGCGGCATGTCGCAACCGCGATCACCGAGAGTTCCGGCTCTCGGGAAATGAAGAGGTAGACGATGTGGTCAGTCTGACTTGACACTAGCTACCAAGTTATACGCGGTCCTGCGTGCAGCCGAAGAGGCGTATTCCGTATCTCACCGGCTGGCCAGGTCGACGTTTGTATTTTCTCAGCAACTGCTAGCATCCGAGACATCGCTATTCAAAGCAGCTATTATCCATCGGGCTTCTCCTAGCACGATCGCAGCCCTCTGGACATTTGGCCGCTGTCCGGTTTACGGCAGCACCAGAAGAATTATTTCTCTGAACGGAAGCACCCCCTCCGCCCGTGGACTCCGACGTCGTCTCCCGCCAGATCAGTCGCGCAATATCGAATGTCGCACGAGACTCATTCGGATCGCCCGTATACTAAGCCCTCAGAAATCGGGAAGATAAACGCGCAGATGCAAGGAAAACGTTCAGATTGTTTCTTACAGTGATAGGACGTCTGACGAGTCCATCAAACCCTAAACACCACTTCGCTCCTGTGGCGGTGTCTGCAGCAGTCACTCCCTCTCCCATCGACGAGTTCGACCGACTGAGTCGCCGATCGCTGCCATCGCCGCGTCGCTGGCAAAGCAACTCGACAGCGACAGTACGAGTAGTAGCCCATCCGTTCTCCTCGTAGGGCTCCGCTAAGCGATCGCTGCCTTGCCGCAGAAATCCGCCGCGGGAGCGAACTTGGCCACGACAAGAGGCGGGGCTTGAGCCCGATGGCCAGCCCAGCCGGGTTCAAGCGCGCTCTTGATTGGCCTACCGTCAGCGAGCGCAAAGCAGAAAGAGTCGACTTAGTATGCTTGATGTCCGTGGTGTTGGTGATGCTGGTGTGACTGCTGCTTGCTTTAGAGGTGTAGCATCTTGAGCGATTCACCGACGGTCGAATTCGCTGTTGACAAACTGCAAGGAGCTCTTTGAACGGTTTGCCGACCTGAAACACGACGGAGAGAGCCTGCACTTGGAAGAATGCAAGCCTGAGCACACGAGTGTTCGTTTGTCGCGGAAAACTCCTTTCATCGCTGTCCCTGGCCCGCTGGTCAGTCTTTCGGTTGTGAGCGCAAACACCTGGTCCAACATGTGCATCACTGTTTTGTGTTGCCACTGCTAACTCTCCGCATTGTTCAGGTTAGGTTTCCCTCTGAAAAAGAGCATATACTATTACGAAGGCCTCGAAATCCTGAAGTTAATCGGTTACAAGTCGCGTTTAATCCACGCGGAATTAGCAAAAAACGTAGAACGTGAAACCCAGTGGACTTTGACTCCCATAGTTCATGCGACACCTCGCTGCTCGGTCCGGTTTCCGTGACGCGAAAGGGATATCTGAGCGAACGAAGCACATCCGATGCTCAGGGAGAACGCAAGCGAGGCTATTCTTTCACTTACCTGCCCATATCTCGAGATCCTCCTATTTAGAAGCACGAGTAATCGACAGGGCTTCGATTAAATGATCGATTCCGGAGAGCATTTTATGCCAGGTTCAACGGGGCAGAACTCAACGCCTGTCTGAGGCCTCTCCACTCTGCTCGTGTAGACGGGTCGATGGAAAAATCGCGGAACTATCTGCTGTGATTCAGAAACTTGCTATCTTGCCCCGTGTATTTCTAGGAAGAGACGAACTTCTCCAGGATGACATACGATGATCTTAAATTCAAAAACCTGGCTTCCGTGATCATGAGACGAAACACTTTTCATCAGCTGTGCGAGAGTTGGACACAACTCTGTTTGCCCCTTTGCCCGCATAATGTCGATCAGAGAGCATGGATACCTCACAGGTGGAAGGTGGTCGCTAGGTACACATATCCGAACCCTGAGTTAGGAACCAGGCGAGGAACGCCATGCTCTCCCAAGGAGTCATCGCGGACCTCCTTGGGAGGCGGTGTCTTACTGATGAGACGATTCCATTCCCTTAGGTCAATGATCATCGGGAAGTTTTCATATTCTCAATTATCCTCGGGCTCACTTGACCACTCCAGAGAAATACACCAGCGCGACAGGGGTGTCAGAGTGAGAAACATCAATGAAAACCTTCCTTCATTCTCCCATTTCCAGCCGCACCAATGGATTTGAGCATCACTCGGAAGAGTACTTCACCGCCATTGGAGTCCCTGAGTGATTGTGATGACATCTCTGTGGGAGGACAGGACAGCCCTCCGGATCCGCAGTCCCGATCTGCGAGTCCCTCATCCAGTGACGGCGTAGAGCTCGACTTGAGATCAGCGAGTCCCAAGATCGGTGTCTCGGAGAAAGATGCCCAGAACACCTTCCAAAAGTTCCTGACGAATCTCGACGCGCTCCGAGCACATGGCATCCTCAGCGGTTCACTTTTCGGCCTGGGTGAGTATCTGACCCTGATAGTTACAGACAGATAGCCAAAAGTCAGAAAGATCTTAGCTCGAGTTGTGTTTTTCTCAACTCGTTCGCGAGCCATTCTTCCGAATTCCGAATCAAGAATCAATTAAAATGGGGACACCCAGGGGACCCTAAACGGGATTCCCGTTGTGGGCTACCCCAAATCTATGGGGCCAGTAATGGAACGCTCGCCAATAGAACACGACGGGGGAGACCCGTCACGGCGGCATTCCGGGGCACTATGTCCAAGACCTGTGTCCCGGAAGAGGAACGTTTTGCTTAACTGGAGCTTGTGCGCTGATATAGATATGATAGAGATATTGAGGGGTGAATGAACCGCTTGGGCGACGGCTTAAGTTTCCCATTGAAAGATTGGGAGCTCTTCCTCGATCACCTCATGACAATCATCCACTTTCACCTAATGACAATCATCCACGTCCACCACATGACTGCTCTCGCACAAAAGTTTCGTGAGCTTTCGCCGTCATTGCCGATGAATGACAGGGAGTGCGGCTGCAGCTCGATGTAGAAAATCAATATTATCTCTCGCCTTCCTAGGTAGCTGTTGCTCCTGCTATGATTGAGCTCGCGCGCATGTCAGAGCTGTCGCGGACAGATCCGACTGAAAACGGTCAGAGAGATGAATGAATCCGACATTCGACTGAATCGAAGGTGTTGCGTTGAACGCATCAGCCGCCGGAACCGTCGAGATTTTCGAGCGGTAGAGAGAGAGACAAAAACGATGGAGAAAAAATCGCGACGTGTTTTGTGAAGAATCAATTGGTGAAGTGAGATGCGGAGCAAGGTGAGGTTTGTTCGCTCGATTGACTCGTTGAGTCGAGTTGACTGACTACAGGAGTGAGCCCGAGAGGCCCCGAAGTGACGGATGTCAACTACCACGTTCGACTGGGGATTCGAGTCATTCTTTGTCAGTCAGCACTTGTTTTCAGTGCGAATGTTTTCAATGGAACTTCGACACCAAGGCGACCCGGTGATTTCGATTGCGAGATAATAGTAATAGTTGACTCTGGCTGACTGTTTGCTCCGGACGGACACTTAGTCTTTATCTTCGTTAGCGGCTGCTATCGGTTGTTTCAAGTCTGAGGAGTTGGGACGACGACAGTACTGGCGGCGGCGGCGACATCGGCACTCTACTGAGGTAATGCCGAGCGATGCGCGGTCGATCGCGACCAGCAGTTTGCGGCCGATTAGTGAGGCGGAGAAAAAGCGCAGCAGAGAAAAGAGACGAAAAGGCAAAACACTAAGACATCAACTCAGCTTGAACCGCGGCGAAGAGTTGGCGGCAAACTGCTTTAACGATCTGCTTAACGACTCCGTGAGGAGTCAGCCGATCCTTGTGTCGAATCGGCTGCTACAGGACGCCGTATCGTAGATATCTACTTGCCCGAGCGAGTGACTAACTCACTGACTGCCCGCCCGTCCGTTCGTCGGTCGGCTCGACCGACCGACCGACTCGTATCTGAGCTGCGAGTCCGTGAGTCCGCGTTTGTGAGTTTAAGTGAGAAGCGGGGCCAGACGTCATCCGATTGGAGAGTCGGAGTGCTAATTTCTTGCGTCTAACGTCCTTTTCAAATCGCCGAGCTAGGCGCATTCAAGAGGAGTTTATGGGCCGCCGAAGACCAAAGCCACCACCGATTAATAGAAGGTCCACGACGACAACTTCGGCCGGCGATTAAAAGAGTCAGCAGCCACCTCACCGGGCATAAAAAAACGTCGGGGACCCGTCAGGCGTTTTAGGCAAGAGAAATGAATGCTGAAGAACTATTCACCGACGTCGAACCCGCTTCCGCTGTCCTAGGTGGTCACGGATCGCTTTCTCTCGATAAAGCTCAGTGCTCAGAAGGCGCCAGGGCGCAGGTCCACGGACTCATAGACATAGCCGGACCCTGAATTTCTGTGGGCGACACCTGATTTTTCACCTGATCAGTCTCCTTAGATACCTCCTGATCCATTCGGTTTATTCGATGCGATCGCTACGCGCACAACCAAAACCGATAACGAGGCACACGTTCCTGTCTCCGGGAATCATTTTGATAGTCGCTTGTCATCACTTGCCAGCAGACGCAATCGATTAGGGAGCCTTGTCGTCGAGGTAGGATATTCTTCATCTGTCGCGATAAAGTCGTAATCAGCGGATGGATTAGGCGAAGTATGGGATGTTGATGCTGTTCCACATGACGCGACTATTTGTAAAACGACGGGTAGACAACGCATCTCAGAGTCCAGCTTGCTCATTTCGCGAGTGTGAAGACGCGGAGATGATTTGAAGCTGGCCTAGCATGGATCTCCATGGAGCCAGAGGAAATTTCGTACTTGGACAGGTTCGTTCCGTACGTTCGGGGCCGTATTCCGGTCATCACGGATATCCTAAGCTACGGTATCGTTGACGCGAAAGACTGCGTGATTCGCTCAGCTGACCACACCACATAACACCGCGTAGGCAGCTAGCTATCCGAGCGGCCTGCCCGCCTGCCTGCCAGTCAGTCAGTCACTTACTCACTCAGTCAGTCTCACCTGGCCATGCGGAATTTAGATTCGATTTGCACCTCAATGAGGCGACCACAGAGCCAACTACTCGGATCATTTTTCACGAGCCCTCCGCCGCCAGAATGATCAAGGATGTGGCAGGCACTCGCGACTTCATTAGGGATGCTAGAAAAACTTCCCCCTGCTGTCGCTTTTGCTGAGCAAGAACTCGACCATAATAATCAGTGATCACCTTCTGTCTACACGTTTACGGCTGAGGTGCTCTCTCCTCGTGAAATGATCTCCTGTCCGTTGAATCAGGTGTGAGATCCCGCCACCGGCTGATTCCGATTTTCCGTTGGAACACCGAAACTATTTCCGTCTGATCTTGTGGATCTCGACCACCTGCGACGAATGATCCCCCAAATCGATCACGACGACAAGTTTTCCGTCTTCCATCTTCTCGCGTCTGTCGTCAGACTTCACTCACAATCTGTCATGTCGAGGCAAACTCTCTCGGGCAAGACACCGAATTGAAGGAAGGTTCGGCTGTCGGCGCCGCCGCTGTCTTTATCGTGTAATGCCCCGCTCAACGAGAAATCTTCATTGAGCGATAACCGGCTGAGGAGAGGTAAGAAACACTGTCGAAATTCCACAGAAGAACACGGCGCTAATTTTCCGGCAAATAGCTTACCGTCCGTCCCCTCCCTACGAATTTCATCGATTGCTACATGATGAAGGAGCTCAATCGACGACGCTAAAGCTCTTTCTGCGTTTTGTCTTAGATTTTCTCCCCCCGAGAAGCGAAGAAAAAGTGACCTGAGACGCGCCCACTGTTTCACACGCAGATATCATTCACGGCGAATCTATCAGCGCGGACGGTCAGCTCCTTATACATAACGACGACTATCTTTCGAAAGGTCGCTCCTGAAAATAATTTCTCGGAGCACGCGATCATTCGGAGTTGGATTTCTGTTAACCTCAGCGAGGGAGCTCTCGCGTCAGCCGGTGCCGTCGGACATTGCTCCCGATCGGGCGAAGTCGATCGAATTTTGTGAATGGACGTAAGGGTTGAGGACGTATCGGGAGTCTTTGCATCGGAAGCTCCAACTTTGACGGCTGTTCCTTGTCATGAACTATGAATGAGTCGTTGTTCCTCCGCGTTGTCCTACGATTTAACCGCGAGCGGGATGCAAATCGATAGCTGACTCGAAATGTGAAAGGTGAGACACGCGGCGAAACTCGAACCCGGGAGCGTGCGCGGCTAGTCGCTCTCGCGCCTGGAGCCTAAATCCACTGGTTCAATGAAAGTCCGTGGCTCTGTTAGCATCGAACATACTTCGCATATACGTCATGTTCGGGTGAGCCGCAGTGAGGGTGGACGCGTGCACTCATCGGCATGAGGGCGCACTCGATACCCCGACACCGCTACCCGTATCTGCGAGAATCTCTCTTTGTCTTTACTGCACGGCATTCAGCTGTAGATCGATGCTCCTAATGGGCGGTTCGAACGCTCGCCTGCCAATAGTGATTCTAACTGACTGAGCGAAAGCAGGCTCGCTCTTACCTTACTGCTGGGTTAGCGTTCTCCGGCGTGACTTCGCTTACCTCAACTCGAGCAGACAGGACTCAACTCGACGATGGTCGCAGGTAGCAATTACAATGCCTCTCGCTTCCCGTTCGTATGCGTATTTGTTCGGCCTGAGACTCACCGACACCGACTACAAACGATATTATTGAGGCTGGCTGGCTGGCCGGCGTCGATTGAGTGCGATGATCAATATTCATGCGCGGAGCTTATTAGGTGGCTGTTCTCAGGCTCAAGTGTGGCCATAGCTTGGTGAACACGATCCGAGTGATTTTGCGTAGCCGTCAGAGGAACGAGTGGATTCGGAAACAAAACGTCGACGATGAGCCTGAACACTAATTTCGCCTCATTCCAGGACCCCCGAACTCGTTCTGGCACGAGCTGGTGTCACCGGCGGTGCTCTCGCAGCTGGGCGTCAATCTGGCGCAGCTCAAACATCAATCGGACACGGCGAAACTTGCCGAACAAATGAGACAACAGGACGCCGAGGACGAGGTGGCAGCCAATCGGGCCCAAAGTAAGTTGGAGCTTTCCGTGGCGTCCGATGAGTGACCGCGCGAAGGACTCCGGTAACGTGTCGATCTCACTACTATGCCGACGTTTCTGCGCCGTTCCAGGATTCAGCGATCGTGACCACACTCCGTCGACACTTTCTTTTTCGTCGGGTAGTCGAAGTGTTATCGGAGGCTCCAAGCCGAAGGTGGCTACACCTCAAGTTGTTTCAACAATCGAGTCTTACAAGCGAGAAAACCCCACTATTTTCGCCTGGGAAATCCGAGAACGTCTGATATCCGATGGTAAGCAGATGATCGAGCACTCGGGGACGCGCTTCAGAAGAAAATTTCATCAGGCAATTCCCAGACATCCGTTCAGGAATCAATTCCTCCAGAGAGAAATGGAGAAAGAAATTCACGCCGACATTCAGCTCGACTAGAGATTGACGACTATTGTGCCTTCGAATGAACATTGTCGAAGGGGAAGCCGATTGTTGCCCCTCACGCTGAAATGAGAGCAAGCGTTGAAGTTATTGGCTGAGTGGAACGTGATTAAAATGCACGCTTTCTGTTGTTTCGCTCGGAATCGGTCCTGAACTGCTCTTCTTGACTTCATTGTTTAGTTTTCGCCGTAAATATTCCGTGGTGTTGGTGAACTACGAGAGGGCGCGCCTCTGCCTAATTCTCGCACAGAAAGTTAACTCCCTGCCTCTTCGAGAGAGAACCGCGGCGTCCAATTATCTGATGCGCGGTCTATCCATCCAGCAGACAACAAAGAGCTTCGCCAAAAAAAAAAGGTGAAAGACGCTCAATGAATCTCTCGGCTCCTTTTCTTTGCTTTTCGGCGTCTTTTTAACTAAAACAGACAACTCATCGGCTCGGTAATAACCGAGCATCCATCGAGCGGTAGACCGCCGAGTCAAGCGGCCGAGCCAGTGGGTGAGCAAGCTGGCAAGCCAGAGCGACCAGTTGACGCTATGGAAGCCGACAGCAGCGCGAGGATTTTCATTGAGACGTCTTTCTGAAAAGATATCTCTCTTCTCCGCCTTTTATGGCGGATAAAGCAGCACACGCTCACGAGGCGGGCAGGCGCGCGGGCGTTGTTTCGGTAGGTCGATCTTTCGGCAGTCAACTTCAGATGGACATACACAGAGGAAATCGGTCTTGAACAGAGCAGCCCGCGACCCAGCAGTCAGTCGTAAGGCAGATCGGCCCCCGATGGAAATTCGGGAGTTGGGCGTGCGTCCTCCACGGAAAAGTTTTCCCTCTCGGACCTGGTGCTGTTCACAGGCATGGGGGCTGGAAAGTCTGCCGCAGCGTCAGAGAGTTCTCCCCGTCCGGATAGATTTCGAGAAAAGCTCGAAAAGAGAGAATTCTCTCCGTGAGCCCTCATTCAAGAACAGGTGCTCCGCTGCTATGACAGACGAGAAAAGTGGGGGATCATGGACAGCTAAAAAAGAAGCTTCCTGCGTCGCTCAGCTTGATGCGATGAGTGACTCGATATTCTGTTGATGAGGTTTCCTCCCTGACGTTCTTATTGATATCGTGGTCCGCCACGGAGGCAACGGTGGCGACGCCGCTCATCGGTGCGTGTCCACGGTCCATCTTCAGAGGGGCCGACAACGAGGATACTTACACCACCGTACGCTCGTATGAATGACAATCTGACCGCACTGCCAGGCTCTTGGACGATGCCTCGGAGTGAGAGCGATCGGCAGTCGGATCGGAGGTGACTTTTCTTTCGCCGCACGGAAACCCTGACGCTCGATTCCTTGCAGGTGTTTGCTCCAACGCAACAGCGCCGTCAGTCAGCTCAATCAATCGGATACTGCGCAATCGGGCGGCGGAGCGCGCCGCTGCGGAATTCGCGAAGGCCACAGGGTACGGTAACGGCAGTATCGGAGCGATTTCCCTCGGGGCTATTTCCAACTCGGTCAAGTCCCAGGGGTCTCGTACGAGTCTGCCGCAGGATTGTACGACCCGTATTTGGTCTCCAGCATTCCTGCCCCGTTTGGAAGCTGCTAATGCGTCAGAAACGAAGCGACGACGGGAGAGCTTCGCCCAAATCGACCTGGAAAATCGAATCAGCCGGGACAGCGGCGATGAGTCCAACGCCGAATCGGACGATCCGGACCGTCCCAAGTTCCGAAGGAATCGCACCACATTCAGCTCCGAGCAGCTCGGGATCCTCGAGGAAGAGTTCGACAAAACCCACTATCCTTGCGTGGATACGAGAGAGCGTCTCGCGACGAAAACCGGACTGTCTGAAGCGCGAGTTCAAGTTTGGTTCTCGAACCGGAGAGCGAAATGGAGACGTCATCAACGGATGAATGCCTCCGCTGCCTCTAAGGGGGAAGTCGGATCTTAGTTAGAGAGAGCTCCAATCCCGTCTCCAGACCGGAGCAGGTCGGGGAAAATTCTCCCCGTCCTCCAGACATTGAAATCGTTTGTTGACTTGAGACTTGAAGCTGTATTTTTCGGTCGAATACCCCTGGCATATCGAGGAAGCTGTCGGGGAATGCCGATAGTTGGAGGGGCTTGGTTCAGTCCATAGAGGATAGCCCCTCCCACGGAAGTATCCGTGAGATTCCATACTCAGCTCTGGAGGACTAAGTGACCAGAAGTTCTGATCGGACTACTCTCTGCCATTATATATTAGGCTTGGATTCTCATTGTACATGAGGTGGCGTTTCGGAAAGGAAAAATAAACTCATAGCGTGTAATTTTGCTGTAATGACCTGCCTAATTACTCCCAACCTTGACGGAAACGCTTCCCAGCATATGAGGAAAAGTTTCATGTGATCTTATTTGCCGTTTCGTTCGAAGATGCGATAACCGAAACGCCGATGACCGCGAGTAATGCAAAACGAAACTTCCATGTTCTCATATATAGTTGTTGTTGCTGTTGCTGCTGCTGGTGTTGTAGTGATGGGCTGATGAAATCTATTGTGTGACACCTGTGTGTGGGTCCTCCCATTCAATGGAGAGTTCTCGGCTTACGCTCTGTGGCTAACTTCATAGACAACGCATGCTTTACAATGGGCTAAGCTTCACCGCATTCAGAGGTGTTGGTGACACCGACCGGACGTTAGCGTATTCACTGCAGGCAGTACGTCCCACTTCCCGCTCTGGGTGTACTGTGACCACGACGACGACAAAGAAGATCGAGAGCAGCTCTGAAAGGGGAAGCACCCATGAGCTTCTTCATTCGTTCGTGGCGAAAATTTTTGACCAAGAAGAAGCGAAACTTGCTCAACCTGAATGAGCTGCTGAATTCGATGATTGGGTAAATGTTTTCTTGACTTGCCTGCTTTGGCACCGGCTAGGATTTCATTCCAAGGCATCGATCGGTTACCTTGTCGATTCTCGCTTGGCGAGAATGGCGCACGAGACAGATGTACCTCGTGGACCTCGTCTGCGGATGAACTGAACTGAGACACATGCTGAACAGCCCTCGATGAGAGTGCTTCACTTTTCCTCTCACCAGAATGACTCTAGCGTGAACGAGGGAGATCTCCTTGAGGTGGTTCGATTTAAAATTCATTGGGAGCCTTCCCTTGGAAACCCCCGCATTGGCCGCAGTTTCACCGAAATAATTGACATGGCTCGGGTACGTATAATGAGGATGACTCTGCTCCAGCACGAGTTCAAGTTTTTTCTATTGGGTTTGCCTACGCTTCCATCTTTACCGACGGAGCGCTCTTCGGCGTTGTTTCGGCCCCCTTCGATTATTTCTGGACGTTCTAGGACACACTGAGCCGTAATGACACTCTAAGGCGAAGAACGGCTGCTCTCGAACTCTGCTCGCGAATAGAAATCCTTGTCTCCTCGGAAATCATTTCGAAATCGGACGCGAAGATCCTCCTGTCAATGAGGGAGACGCTATCCTCGCGATGAAGAGAATCCAGGTGCTCGACAATTGGGAACAATATGTTTGAAGCGTCTGCCATATCGCGACGAAGCAAACCGTCATATCTTGAAGTGCGGAGCGTTCAAGTTAGGTTCGCGCGAACGTGACTCGGGGACGCCAACAGCGTTCGAACACGTCCAGAGTCGAGAATTGAAGTCGCTGACGTCGTGTTGTTTGTACTTAGTTTGTGCTTCGTCAGGGTTCCGACACCTCCGCCGGTGAAGACACACCTTCGAAAAACACGAACAAGCCCACGAACAGGACCGCGCTAAAGCAGACCGACTCGACAAGCGAAATCCATGCCCTAGTGTTCCAGAAGTGTTTGAGAATGGGATATCAGGGTCCGCTCGTGAACCCTTTGATACACGTTTGAAGTGTCTCCGACCAGAAGGATTTTCTCGTCAAATGAATACTATGCCCTGTGAACGCATCCGAAGACTACGGACATCTGAGAGAAAGACCAGGTGCGAACAGAGTGACAAATGAAATAACGCCTTCATTCCGATTGGACTCCAGTCGTTACGCGCGCTCCTGTGCGGCCCGTCGAAGGCCGCCCGAACGCCGTTGGCATCGGTGTTTCATTTTTTCGTGGTCTTCGCCCTTCGCCCGGGCGTCAACGCGAACGAAATTTCAGACCGACCGATGACCGGAGCGGCTTGTAGCGTGATCGGACACCGTATCGATCACTAGTACAAAACGGATTCGACGGAGTACTCTCAAGCCGACAATTGATCTGGATGGTTTCTCCAATATCGGTTCCGCAGCACGTTGAGAGAGAGGACGTTTCTCCATCGGGAACGGATCCCTATCGCTCGAAGCGACATACGAATTCTCATGAACCCGCTACAGTGTAGAACACCCTTTGACTGCTGCGGCATCTGTGATCAGTTTCAAATCACATGTGCTGCGCGCCGGTCGGTTGCTTGCCGGGCCATCATGTGCGAGCTTGCCCGCTCCTACACTCGTCTACGAAGCTGACCGTCATTCGATCTACCTCGGGCCGAACCAAAAATTCAATTTTAGCGCCGAAATTAAGAAGACGGCTGTAGTCACAGGTCTTCAGCGGGACGCTGTGATCAGGGATGAGCATACATTCGGTGTCAATATTTCGACCCCACACACAAATGCGCGTTGGTCTCAGACCTCGTTGCATTCCGTGGGGCCGATTAGAATTAGAAAAATTTTGGACCGGTCAAGTACCTAATCACCACAATAATTGAATGGCTCCCCTCGTCAGCACCAAGGAAGAGAGCGGCAGGGATCGGGCTCGCTGACGACCAACCTATAAGTAATACCTATTCCCCTGACCTCCGGGTCCTTCCCGCAGGATTAAGGAGTTCCAAGAGAGCCCGATTCCCGACTGGCCGTGGATTTCCGGAGCGACGCGATGGCAGCAAATTTGAGAGCGGTCTGTCTCGTTGGAGCCAGCGTGCTCACCGTGGTGTAGTAATATTTACATGTGAATGAGCCAAGAAGACATGTCGTTAGTGAATTGGCTGCTCAGCTGGCGGCGGTCGCGTTTGCTGCTGCTGCCGCCGGCGCCGTGATCATCATTCCGTGTTCACCGCGGTATGGTCTCTTGTGTTCTCGGCAAAAGAGACACTCAATAGCTCACGAATGGCTCGTCAGCAGCCGTCACCGAATCCCGTGCGTCGGCGGTGCCAAAACTCTCGGAATTTCACCCGCTCCCTCTAACGTGTCCCTCCAGCCCCCCTTTCCCCCGCCCCTCGTCCCCCGAGATCGATGGTCCCGTCCGCGCAAAATGAAGAACGCCTTCGAGCCTGTCCGCATTTATCCGCAAGCTCATCCATTGCGGGACAGACCGCGAACAGAAGCGCCGCATAGAGAGATATACGTCTGGTGTTTTCGACGCCACCGACCCTGCCGCTTTCGATCGATAAAAGGGCGATCCATCAACGATCGAAACAGGCGGCCACAGAAGAAACTTATTTGAGGTGCTAAAGGGTGATTCGTCGCCGGATTTCACCATTCGACTTCACGAGGGTTGGGCCAACTCCACTAATTAACACATTGGGGTTTCTGGCGGGTAATTCGAAGTGCTCGACCAACACATAGAGCGGGCGAGCGATAGGACCGGGCGAGAGAACGTCGGCTTGGCTGCGATGTGTGATTGTTTCGATCATAGGAAAGAATGTAGCTTTATCTGGTGGCGGCAATGCATTAGGTGCTGGATATGTCTACGCCGGCGACGGCGACGACGACCACGAAGATGACGACGATAGGAACCAGCGAGAGCTAATTAACGAAAGAGTTATGGCCCTCGTAAATATCGAGTCCAATCGCTCTCCGTTCGTAGATCAACATTCTGTGCTGTCATCGAAAGAAATTCGAGGGTATACCACCAGCGGAAGGGAGCGGCGTCGAATTATCTTTCGGCCAGAACCGTGGCCGCAGAGCGGAGAGAAGCGAATTAAAAAATCAGTCAGTCACTTAGCCGGTAAGCTCCGTGTGTCGGCCCGTTCACTCGGCCAACCGATCGTCGTCGGCTCACCAGGTATCGCGAGAGGAAAAAAAACGTCAGCTCGAGTAGGAGTCGCGGCACAGACGACAGACTACTTGCTCGTTGACTCCAGCCAATGAAGTCGTCCGAATGTCAACCACCCCCTCGTCGACTTGCTTGCCGGACTGCTTGCCTGCCTGCCGAGCCACCGGCCGCCCGGCCGGCCGGCTTGCTCGTTCTCTTCAATGAACAAACTCATTTGTAGCTCGAGGTTCTGACTCTACCTTGTTGGTCAGGTGCAATCATCGGAAAATCCATGATCAAGTGTGAATTTTGGTTTTGGCAAACCCGGGCATTTTCGACAAGGTACCGAAGAAAATCAGAATTTACGCATACGATCGCTCTGGAAACACCCGAACTCGTGACGAACGAGGAACGCCACGCACAGAACCGCGCTCGACGGTGGTCTGTCTGCGCGCTTGGACGAAGTGGATGGGGTGGAATTGAATCGTTGGCTCCGACGCTAGTGTCCTCATTCAAACAGCGAGCTAGGATCACTTGTGCACAACTTACCTGCCTGCCTGCGTCCGCGAGTCCACTTCACAATTCAACAATCGCTCTGCCTTACGGCGGCCGGCCAGGAGACAGACATTATTCCACCGTGCGCCGCCGCCGCCGCTGACCAACGAACGGACTGACTGACGGATGGATGGATGAACCGACGCAATGATCGTTTACTTCGCTCGAGGCGGTCGTGCCAACCACGAGTCAACTCAAGCAACAAACCAGCGAACGAAAAAGTCAAACAACGTGGAATTCAGCCGTTTGGATCATTGTGGACCAAGTGTGGTTAGACGGTCACTACGACCGACGCGGCGGCAGGCAGGCAATGGCATACTTGCTACTGGACGCAACTCCGAAAGAAACCGCAGACGGAGGCGATCCACAACCGGGGGAAAATAATCTCGAATGATCCACTCTGCTTTACATCTTCGGATTAAAAGGATGTCGATTGGTGCTGTGCTTATTCGGGCTCTCAACCTCCGAGTGGAGATTCTCTCTGTGAGCTCACTCAGCCGGATCACCACAGCAGGAAGTTTGGAGTTCCTGAGCGAGACGATGCTGGATTCTCACCTCTTACATCCATGGGGCGAACTGCTCAATCCCCTCGACTCGAAGCGATGATAGCTGCTTGAAATCTCGAATTGAGTTACGACCCTTACCCATATCCGAATCGAGGGAATATCCCGGGATCGTGCCAAGATCTAGAAACTGACATCAGCTGATACCCATCCAGCTCTTTCCATGGG